ACCTTTTGAAAGAGGCATTTTCTCGCGCTGTTCTAATAGTCAGAATATTAAAACATCGTTTGTCTATTTTAAATGGCGGTTTGTTTGAAATTATTTAGAGTAACATGGCCATGAGAAACATGCTATTTGAAACTCCAACGACAAAAAATATACATTAAGTTTAAAAACGATTAAATTGTAGGCTAGTTATTTGTAGCGGCCAAAAACTGTTGTCCCGTTACCTACTTTTAGGAATAAACAATCTGTCCTCTACTTAGTGATGTAAAAATCATTATACAGGTTGTTATGGTCATATTATTATAAGGATCAAAATAACTAGGCCTAATACATTTACAGTCTTCATTTTATGCTAGAATGTTTTACTATAAACAATGTAGGCTATTAAGAACTGCAGTAAAGTCCTTTAGAGAACCTGCAATATCAATACCTTCAATATAAATTGGGTGAAATATCAGTTCGTTATACAAATCGTACTTTATATTATTCCCTGCGATATAAATTCCGATTTTTGTTTTAAAGCCATAGAGTCTTTTCAAATAGACTTTCACACTGTGCTGTGGTGGTTAAACAAGGTTAGTTCAGTTTGGTTTAGTTTATGTTAATAAAAACCTGGTAACACCTAAATAAATACAAATTGTTCCAATAGCATCATCATTTGGTTGGGTTAGTGTTGTACAGTTTTCTATCAAAACTGATCGTCAAAAGCGCCAAATTATACCTAGTCGTGTCTTTTCATGAGTAACTTAGCTTATAGAAAAAAGCTAAACATTTTGTTAATGATACCTTGTTTGTTTATAAACTATAGGCCGACCACTTTCAAAAGAACCTGCGCAGAACCATGGCTGTCTTGCGCATGTAGGGGTGAAGGGTGATGGTGGGGAAGGGCCTGAAGCAGTGGTGGGGATAAGTCGTTGGGGCGAGGTGTCTTTCCCCACCACTCTGACTCTCCTGCAGTCCTGCATGCACGACTCAAACAGGTGCGTGGTTTTTTTCCATTTGGTAGGCCTATAAGCTAACATAGCCTAACCTAAACGCCGCAATGGTCTGTAAAAGATTGGCGGGTGGTCCTCTTTTTTTAAAAAGACCCATAGGCCAACAGATTAATAAGCAGGCCTATTTCTTAATCAATATATTTTATATAAATTTGAAGCTATTGTCAGTAGGCCTATTAATTTATAGAAACTGAAAATTTGATAGGATGGTATAATACATTAAAGTTTCTCTGCAGAACTTTACCCCATAACATTGCTGTTGCAGTGCAATGTAATTTTCTGAATCAGTCTTCTTCGTTTTGTATTTAGGCTAAGTAAAATTGATTTTCTTTGCTTCATGTTAGGGAACATTATTACTATGTTTAATAGCCATGATAAGGTACAGTAGACTCCCTCTTATTCGGACACCTTTTAACCTGACATAGATTAAACCAGACAACACTCGGTGGAAATTACATCTCTAACCGGGCAATTTTTTTCAGCACATCGGTTTAACCGGACTAGTTCGGCAGGAAGTGGGAGGTAAGCGTTACTGAAACGACTTTTCTTGTGTTAAGGATATGAGAACAATGATTATGGTCTACTACATTTTAGTCAAATACTGTATATACAGTATGCATTTAAACGGCCAGTTTTAATGAGTTTGTGGGGCGTCAGTTTAACCAGAAAACCCATTATCCGTACTGACCTCGGTCCTGAGAGTCTGGATAAGAGGGAGTCTATTGTACTGTATATTTTACTATGTTATAGTGACACGAATAAAAAAATAACATCCAAAACTTCATGCAATAACCCCATAGTACCACATACAATATGTTTACTAGTGTGAACTACGCTGTAGGCTTCACATTGAATGTGTTGCCCAAGTTTATTAAATTAAAGCTAAAACAGAGTTTTTTTGTTACAGAGTCATTGATTGAGGTGCTGGTGAACTGATTGAAGACTTAAAAATGTTTTGTTATTAGTGTGAGGTGTGATAGTACGGACTGTTGTGATAAATTACCACTGTTTATGATTTACTTTGTTATGTTTTAAAATAAATGTTCTACATAAACTATTAAAATTGAATGATCAATGCCACTATTTCCAGCTGTAATAATTTTTTTATACTTCTTTTAATTATTTTTTACTTTATAAGTTCTAATGTAGTCAATATTTGCATAATATGCACTTTCAAAAATATAAAATAGTAAACACAACAGCTTTTTATATACAATTGTTATTATTTATTGGTGTTTTTGTATTGCAATCGTTAAGTTGCATGCCTAGTTGCAGATGCATTGGTCTGTTTAAATGTAGCCTATAAAGGAACTAAAATAAAATTTGAAAATCCCAGACTAACATAAAGATTATTCAAACAAAGGAGGTTGAAGTATGTAAAAAATTCCAAAAACTCTTATTTTAAATTTGGTAAGTATAATTTGATACCAAATATTGTTGACCTTATTTCCTATATTTTCTCTGGATGGTATTTCAATTTATTTTATAATTGCAATGATTCTGCTCCACTCAAATTCCAGGGCATGGACTGCAATCAATATCTGCCAACATCAAATTCGAGAAAATCTAAAACTTTGTTGACTCACTTGCATATAGGGCCTACCGTATAACATTTAAATACAACATGAAAAATAATAGGATTTCCTGGAATTTTTCTAAAATGTTTGAGATCATTCTCAACATCCCAGGCAATTTCCTTGAATATACTCAGATCACTCATCAAAAATATTCTAAGAAAATTTTTATATAGCCTAGAAATCTGGAGAACATTCTCAGGATATTCTGGAAAAGTACTCTGGAATATTCATGGTATATTCTGAACATATTAAGTTTAAATTATTGATTTTTTCAAGTACCACAAAATAACTTGAAAAATACAAAAAACAATGTTTTTAGGGTAAAAAATGGGAAAACTCAATTTTTAGTCCATTCCCATAGTTAGTGTTAAAGTACCGAATAGGTACTTAAAATGCAAAATGCAACGGATCAGAGGTGCCCATCCCCCCCAAACCCAGAGGCGCAACCCCCCCCCCAAGCCAAAGGAGTAGTTCTCCCCCCCCCCAATTTATGCTGCCGTCTATTTAAACCTACCCTCCCCCCACCAATTTATCTGACAATTTTCCCTTTACCTCATAAAACGAGCATTCCAATTTAGTATTTAGTAAACTTGAGGTAAAGAAAAACAAACTTGCTGATAATAAAAATTAAATGTTTAATAGGAAACGAACAACATTTAACAATACTTCATTAGGTATATCTAACTAATGGACGAATTAGAAGTGTTTCAATTTACATTTCAGAATCTCTATTGTCAGCTAACATGTGTTCAGTATTGCAATAGACAACGTCTTCAAAACGTACAACAATATACTAGGTGAATTACTCTACTCCAACACAGTATTGTAACTGTACAGTATATTAGGTGGCGTTAAATTTTACAGAGAAAGAATCTCAGAGAAGAATTTTAAGAAATCAAACCGCTTTAAAAATGCATTAATAATACTTTGGCAAAAAATTTTTTTTTTTTTCAAAATTATAGGCAGTCACGAAATAAGACAGACTTGTTGCTCGCCACTCCCTGGCTCAACAAACACCGCCACTCCAAACAACACACTCCAAAAACTCGATTTTAACTCTACAAAAATCGCCAGGCAAAATACCCAGGTTTTTGTGACGAAGTAATCTTTAATTAATTTTGATAGCCCCAGGATTGCCTTTTATGACTAATAATGGTAGAAACGCATCTTGTCAGACAATCTGTTTATACACAAAACACGAAACGATAACAGATAGGCCTATCAATTCACGTGAGTATATTGCCGCGGGCAGGACTGGAAGTAAACTGAATCAGGTTATGACGGAAAGACGTGGTCTCTGGATTGTCGTCTGTGTTATCAAAAGCTGATATTGGACTAGTTGTAGTGACGGAGGAGAGTGTTGAAAATGTAATGGGATTCATAATTGAGTTTTCCATTTAAAATTATTGACAATAATAACCAATTTATCTGCTGGATATAAATTATGGTCTCGAAATTCTACAGTACTGCACGAAAGGAAATTTATTAAATACTTTGAGGAGTTTGAAATATATAAATACATAAAACTAGGGACAGCGCAAAATTTTTGAGTGAAAACACTCAATTAATTATGAATCCCATTATACTTTTAACACTCTTCTCAGTCTACAATAGTCCTATATCAGCTGGTGACAATGCAGACGACAATCCAGAGACCACGTCTGTCCGTCATAACCTGAACCTGATTCAGTTTACTTCCAGTTCTGACGACGGCAATATATACGCGTGAATTGATAGGCCTATCTGTAATCGATTCGTGTTTTGTGTGGTGGAGGTAAAGAACCACCAAAACATATGTAGCAAATAAAATTCGACACTGACACTGGTATATTAAGGATTGTCTGACAAGGTGCGTTTTTACCATTCTTAGAAGCAAATCTTAATTACGAATGGCAAAATGTTGTTGGTGTTGATAGTGAGCTACTTAGAAACACTTTTTCGGGCTGCTTATACAAAATTTGTCATTCATTATGACAGCTAGCAAAAAACATCCCCCCCCAAAATCCCCTCAAAAAAGTCCCCCCCAAAAATTCCTGTGGCGCAAACGCGCCACAGTACCCCCCCTCTGGGCACCCCTGCAACGGATGATGGGGGTGACAGAGATGACTGACTCAAGTCAAGTCGTCAATCGTCTCGTCACGGATGTAGCTAACAGCAGAACTGAACTGAAACTGAACTGAAGAATTGAAGTGAGCTAGTAAGTTATGAGTCGACTCGTTGAAGACCAAATACAACTGAGTTGGTTCTTTCTGGCGCATGCGCAGTAGGCTAGTCCAATTCCTGCCCTGAAACGCTCGCAAACGGATGGAGCAGATAAAAGGGAAGATAACTGAACACATGATAGAAGAAGAAGAGGGAAGAATGAAAGACGAGGCGATAATGAATGTTTGGTACCATTACTACCAATACCAACACTAAGCAGGGAAAATAGAACAGAGATAAGAAAACAAAATGGCGAATCGACTGTGCTAGTTCCGTGGGAAGTGGGCTTTTAAAGCCTAATTAATAGCTATTAGTACAGTTCAGTATACTTTGTGAATAGTTCTCGTAAGTATTATGAGTAAAGTTTATTAGATTAGGTCTATTAGGCGCACAATGAAGTCTCAGCTACACAAATCAGTGATAACAAATACAAGTTTAAGTAGAAGCCTATTATTTAGGCTCGAGCTCAGAGCTTATAACTTATGGATTGGTTACTACATTTTTACCTTTGCTTAGGCCTATTAATATAACAGTAATATTACGGTACAAAATAACTCGTGGGCAATTAAGTGACCTCATCCAACTACTCACAAGTACAGGATTGGCCCAGGCAATGAACTAGGGTAGTCTATCTGCCCAACTTAATTTAGGCCTAAGTTAACTTAGGTTGGTTTGGCCAATTTATATAAGTTTTAGGCCTAGGCCTACATTCGATTTTTGAGACCTCATGAAATTTGTAATAACTTACCTAGCCTATACCGACAAAAAGTCAATTAATCTAACAACATTAGTTATTTGAAAGGTATAGGCTAGGCCTAGGCTAGAGGATAACTTACCTGTCCAGTAACCGAGCGTTGATTATAGTAATACAGTACCAGAAACAAAAGAACCCTGGGCCGTTTTGAGCCGCGCAGTTTTGAATGGTACGGTACGCCACACCTACCGGCACGAACCACGTGATCTTTTCGTTTCTGCGCAGGTTGTTTTGTTCGTGGTATGTCTATAGGCGTCCAGCAGTTACTGTCATAACCTAACCTAACCAACCAAACTTGCTAATGAAAAAATCAAATGTTGGTTGAATTATGTTCATAAAATAAAATTATAAATGCCTCAAATCCTAAGTTAAGTTAACTTAGATCTGATCTTTCATTCATAGAATAAATCAAAAATAGGCTACAATCGCAAATAAATCTGATTTTTGTACTGTTAATTTACCGCTCAGAGCTACATTATTGATCATAGTTGTAATACTTAACCATTGTGAATCAGCATTATTTGGTGAAGGGTAAGTATGACATCATTATATTAAAATTTTATATAAGAAAAAAATTAATAAATAAGCACCTGGGGACCGAGCTTTGCTATATAATTCCTCAAGCTATATAAAATTTTTGTTCAGAAGTGCTACAGTAAAAAAAATAAAACACATACTTAGGTAGATATGCCTAAGAAGTTTTAAGATAAGTTTAGTAACTTAAACTTTACCGTACTTACGGTAACTTAAGTCTTACCAAAAACCAAACTTCACTAAACTTATCAATCGTAGGCTAACAATCAATAAGTTATCTACGAGGAGGTCCATAGTTCTGCCATTTTTATTCAAACATTATTTGAGGTTTAAATATTGAAATAATATTTAAGTTAGAATGTCTAAATCCCCCTCTTAAGCCACCACTGGAAACTTGTCTTTGATCGATGCAATGCAAGATAGTATTTTGTAAACAGTCAACTTAAGTTATCTGCTGATAAGCCTTATGTTAGGTTATTTAGACATCTCCAATTTTGAATCAACCATACATAAAACTTATTGGTTAGGTAAAAAAGACACGATGCAGTACCTAAGTTAAGTAGATCAGCCATACCATAGAGTATGCTTGAGTATGCGCCAGTGATGTCGGCGAGGATTCAGTTCAATGTGTCGCCGCCGCTATACTCCGCCAAGTAGGTGTACAGCTCGCTGCGGCGGTTAGGCTATGTTAGGTTGGGTTATCATAAATATGTATGTGTGACTTTCCTCGTAGCGTTATGAATCGAACTATACCAGATGAGTCATACTTTCGCCCGCCAAATACCCCAGATACAGGCGGTGACAGGTGATGCGCACGCTCCAGTCAACGGCCTGACCTTGGTCTACTTGGAGGGGATTTGGCGTGCAGAAGTATGACTCATCTGGTATCTTTCGATTCGTAATGAAACGAGGAAAGTCCTACTAACATATTTTATGGTAACCCAACCTAACATGCGCCACAGCACGCTGTATAAGGGTGGCCTCCGGATAATAACAAAGTGCTAACTTATTATTGGTTAGGTAAAAAAGACATGGTGCAGTAAGGAGATGGTAAGAAGTAGCCTATATTATTTAACTACTAGTTTGCTCTGCCCGTGCTTCCCAACGGGATGAAAATGCAGAGGATAATAACAATTAAGGTCGTTACAGTAAATTTACAGTGAAAACTGTTAAAATACACCCTTCATTGATTATAGGAAGCAAATCTAAATTAATTGTACCGTTACGGTACTGATTATTTCTAACGAATATTCATCCGACGCTGTAAGTAAAACATATGATTGGAATTTCTTGCATTTTTTTCTGATTTTGTCACCAGCATGGCAATAAATAAGCCCATGTTAATTATTTTAAATTTTAAATCCTTTTTTTGGGCCTATTTTAATGTATAAAGGCATTCTGCACATCTACAGAATCTTTCCAACAGTATGCGTGGATTTTCCCTGTGATGCACATGAGCTGAGAAAATAGTTTTTCAATAATATAGGCTTATTAGCTTAAGTTAACTTAACTACAGCATTTCATAGCAATAGCAATCTAATTTTTTCATCCGATATTTTTCAGATCGATGAAGCCATTAGAGAGGAATAAGGAGTTTTCCCATTTTCCCTCGATCTCGTAGTGAAAGTGTGTCCCTGTGAAAGATAAGTGTTCAGCCTTATTTCAAGACTTATTTCATAATGGCTTTGGGTCTTTCTAGTAAAGGTGGAAGGGGTAGTTATGGTCACATCAGGTGAACTGCTGTGCCCAATAACCGGAGATGGTGTATGAGAACTTCTAGTCAATATCGGTGCCATTGCTATTATTACCAAAGATTATAGGGACTGATTACAGTTTCTCTTCTAAAGAGAGTAGTTACTGCATGTAAAGTCAATCTATTGTCAACCTTTGCCATTATTTGTAGCGTAACGTAACCAAACCGTTTGTAAATAGGCCTACATTATCCATGGTGGAAATATTTAGTGCATGTTCACACTTTATCGCTTAGTCCTAACACGATGAAGCAGAAAATAAAGGAAAAAAGGACTAACCTTTCTGGTAGTAGGAAAAGGGGACTGTTATACTACTGTGAATATTGCGAGAAGCGATTTACACTTCAGTACAGTCTGAAGAAACATCTGAGAACTCACACAGGAGAGCGGCCATATCACTGTGAGGTTTGTGACGCCCGGTTCACTCAAAGCGGAGGCTTGAAGAATCATGTGTTGAGCAAGCACCAGGCAGAGCAGGCTTACACTTGTCACTTTTGTGGCAAAGATTTCCCACTCAAGGACCGACTGAAATGCCACCTGCGTGTACATACTGGCGAAAAACCATTCAGGTAATAACTATAGTGTAGTAGTAGGAATAAGTATTTGACTCTAGGTGGAAATCTGAATGTAAGCGAGTTTTCAGATTTTTTTGTGAGAACCCATTATGAAATTTATTTGATCAAATAATGACTACGGTACCTACACAAAGACTATTTGAGAACTTTAAAAAAAATGTAGGCCTAGCCCTATAAGTGTCACATTTTGAAACAAATAAAATTTTTAATTTGCAATTTTAAAACTATTTTTTTACATTTACAGTATACAGGGTGGCTGAAAAGTAACTTGCACCCCCCCTTAACTTTTCAACCATTTGAGATATTTTAAATCGGTTTGCGGCAACCTTCTTAGATATGAGGGGCTACAATAATTATGGTCAATTTTGAAACTTTTGCCCTTAGGGGTAGCGGGGGTTGAGGGTAGCTCAAAATTTTCAAATGACAAGTATAGTCGAGTTTGGTATCATTTTACAGGTCTTGACGAAACATAAACATTGACATAAAGAAAACCAAAATCGGTCCACTAATAACAAAATGGCGCCCAAAAACTTTTCAAATCGAAATAACCATGAGGGTGGCAAAAAATTAACTTGCACCCTCTTTAACTTTTTGACTATTTGAGATATTTGAAATCGGTTTGCGGCAACTTGTTTTGGATATAAAGGGCTACAATAATTATGGGCAGTTTTGAAAATTTTGCCCTTAGGGGTATCGGGGGTAGGGGGTAGCTCAAAATGTTCAAATAGCAAGTATAGTCAAGTTTGGTATCATTTTGTAGGTCTTGACGAATCATAACAATTAACATAAAAAAATAGAAATCGGACAATTAATAACAAAATGGCAGTTCAAAATTACTTTAAATAACCATTGTCTCAATCATTTTTAGCTGCCATTTTGTTATTAATGCTCCGATTTTTATTTTCTTTATGTTAATTGTTATGTTTCGTCAAGACCTACAAAATGATACCAAACTCGACTATACTTGCAATTTGAACATTTTGAACTACCCCCTACCCCCGATACCCCTAAGGAAAAAATTTTCAAAATTGGCCATAATTATTGTATCCCTTCATATCCAAACAAGTTGCCGCAAACCGATTTCAAATATCTAAAATAGTTAAAAAGTTAAAGAGGGTGCAAGTTAATTTTTTTCCACCCTCATGGTTATTTGGATTTGAAACGTTTTAGGGCGCCATATTGTTATTAGTGGACCGATTTTGGTTTTCTTTATGTCAATGTTTATGTTTCGTCAAGACCTGTAAAATGATACCAAACTCGACTATACTTGTCCTTTAAAAATTTTGATCTACCCCCTACCCCCGCTACCCCTAAGGGCAAAATTTTCAAAATTGACCATAATTATTTAGCCCCTCATATCTAAGAAGGTTGCCGCAAACCGATTTAAAATATCTCAAATGGTTGAAAAGTTAAGGAGGGGTGCAAGTTACGTTTCAGCCACCCTGTATATTAAAAATATACTATAAAAGTAATAAAACTGTGTATTGTGTTTTACTGGGATTATTCTCAGATTTCTAAAAGAAAAGTCTTATGAAATGCTGCAAAATGACACCTCTCTCATCTTCCGAGCTTGATTGTGAGAGGAGCCTAAAGGAGTTTATAGTTAATAAACGGGTGGTTTTGAGCGTTTTTTGTAGCCTATTGTTTAACAAGGTGTCATTTTGAAACTAGCTGAGACAACCAAGTTGAAATTTGGTATCATTCTTATTCTCTATAGGGTGTACTGAAATCTGAGTTGGAATGATAAAATTACTGTGTTGACTGTTGATTTAACTTGGAATTTATCCCATAAGCAATCCCTTATATTGCCACTCAAGCTTAATCAAGCCAATATTGATCTGTTTTAAAATAAAACTTAACAGTGAGTGCTCAAAAATGCTGTCGCTGTTAGCACTAAGCTACTACATTTGAACTCTACTAACTGGATCAATAATTTTAACGTCACGTTAAATGCGCCAACCGCCAAGGTTTTACTCATATTAGACAAGGAACATAAAACATATTTCTTGGTGGGAAACTAGGCCTACTGCAATTGGTTGGTGACTCTGCTCATATTGACTCACCCGAACAACGCTAGGACCAGAGTATCGATTGCGCACCAAGGCATTCATTTACTGAAATTCCTCCATGCAAACTAAAACGTTCCCGCAGGTCCGAATTATCATTTGCACTAAAACCTAAAGTTTAGGAACAGGCGCAATGCTGTTTTCAAGTGGCAGTATTGTGGTATCTTGCTTTATGTGAATCATTGATAGTTGAACTAATATTTTGTTTACCTACTCTTACAGATGTTGATATTAGCGTCACTGAGTAGTTTGATGATTGGTTTTCATCAAGTGTGGGAGTTTTTCTGGGAATCTAGAATGTACCTTAAAAACCACAAAACTGATACGTATATTTTTTTAACTAAACAAAATATTTTTTGAAAGGTATTTGTACATCTTAGAATATTGGAATCTACATATTATTAACATTCCACTCAGAATAATGCATCAGAAAAGTAGGAAACCCTTTTTAACTATGTATGAGCCTAAAAGGGTATGAACGGAAACAAAGGGCTTTGACTGTTAACTTGGTTATTAAATCTCTAAAGTTCAGAAATCAGGAAATAAGAGTTATATTTATTTAATCTGGAAAAATCAATAGATTTGCAGCATTTTGGTTTCATAACACGCTATAAAAGAGAATCAGTTGTCCATCTGTAGTTGAATTAACTTTGTATGAAATCCATTAATTTTGCTATTTAGGGTAAATTTAATACGTTATTTGTTAGTTTAGGTTAACTTACCCTTTTGAGCATTTAAAAAATAATTAATTCTATTCCGTAGGCCCTAATCACATTTTTTTCACCATGGAATGTTTGACAGTTGCAGAATATGTAGTAAGCAGTTTGCCCGCAACAGTCAGCTGTCTCAGCACATGAAATCTCACAGTGTTCAGAAGCCTTTTAACTGCTCACTGTGCAGTGCGAGTTTTGTCTGTCGAACGAATCTTTTGAACCACATCAAACGACACGAAGGCGCAGCTGACTACATATGCGACATTTGTGGGAAAAGTTTTGTGCGGCGGGATGGACTACAGAAACACCTGGATTTCCACGCGGATAGGAAGACGTCCGAATGTAAAATATGCAACAAAAAATACAAGGGTCATTTGATGCAGCACATGCGAACCCACATGAAGGAGAAGCCTCACGCTTGTGCCCACTGCAACATGAGGTTTGTCCAACGCTCACAGCTGACTGTACACGAGCGAACACACAGCGGCATCCGACCATACAGGTGTCAGGTGTGTCACATGGCGTTCTCTCATTCTACAGCATTGAAAATGCACATCAGACGTCACACGGGTGAGAAACCCTTCAAGTGCCTCATTTGTCCCAGCAAAGCCTTCAACCAACTACCGCATCTCAAGAAACACATGCTCACCATCCACAAAACTGACAAACCGTACATGTGTCAAGGGTGTCGTTCGTTTTTCAAGACCAAAAACCTACTCATCGATCACGAGAGTAGCTGTAAATTCTCTAACGGAACAGAGGAAAAGAAACTGACAAACCCGCCTCCGATGCCAATAGATAAAATGAGATTGCTACTGGCGTGCCTATTTCAGAAGATATCCTCTCAAGATAAATTGGAAGATTTAGGCTACGGTAAGATTTTGATTGACAACGTATTGATCTCTTCAATTGAAAATTCAGGCAGAAAGCCTTGCTTGGATCAAGATCTTGACGAGTTGACCAAGTTGAAGAAAAACATTGAAATTCTACTCGATTGGACTGTGCCCAAAATGTACATGGAACGGTTTAAAAGAGAACAAAGAACGGTCGAAGACCTCTTAGAGGAATTGACATCATGACATCTGTTCAAGAGCTACCGAGTCTCGCAAAGCGTGATTGGTTTGCCGACATCTTGCCTTACGTGAGTCGTAGTCATTTAGCCACACCGCAAGCTGTTCACCAAAGATATAATCTTGCCAAAGAAATAACTATTTACAGCACTGCATGGTTAGTTTTAATCTAGGCAAAAATGAGATCTAGGAATTTTTGATTTTTTTCATGTCAGCTTACTTTTTGTCTAACAGTGTATTTTTTGTATTCTTAGTTAACTTTGATAAACCAGAAGTATCCCTGTGTTAAACAAATAGTTAGATACTTTCCCCAGTTTTTTTTTATTGACCACTAAAGTGGTTTTTGCTCATACAATGTGTTTTTGCTATTTTGTTTGGTTAGAATGTGAAGGTAAAACATTACTTTAATTTCAAAGAGGCCTATAGGTATATTTTTTGACCAATATTTATATGCTGAAAAATTATCATAATCAATGTCTGTATTTTAAAAAGAATGGTAAACAAACAACACAAGCGTTATGTTTTTTAGTTTTTTCCATATTCATAATTTTAACATAAAATGATGAGTTGCACTTAGTTCAATCAAATAATTCTTTTTGTAGGTATAGTTTTCAGGAAACTTGTTTATTTTTGTCATACCACTCTCTCTTTTGATTAAACAAGTACATATCCATGATTCTGTTTTTATCTTTTTTATTGGTAATGTATTACTTTGTTACAGTTCACATCACATTGTGTATTGCTGGAAGTGTACAGAAGTGATTTTAGTTTCTCTAAAAATAATGCTTTTTTATAGATAGATTAAAGAATTTAGGGCCTTGCCACTATTCTAACAAGATGGTAAATGTCATAATCTGACCTTAAATGTTTAAATTTAAGATTGATTGAAACCACTACACAGTGATTAGTGTATCTTTGTCTCTAATTAATGAATTACCCTTAATTACCTCCTCGACATCGATGACCAGCTCTTGCTGGATAGACTTAGTCAAAATTGCAGAGGTAGTTTTTTTACCAGACAGTAGGTACTATAAAAATTAAACAGAACCACTATGTCTGGGATAAAAGCAAACAAAATTCCAATAAAATAATTATACAGGCTCTTTAGTAGGCTACAGTATGTAACAGTCTATTCAAAGAGTGTCTCATGTGGTTTTATATATTTTTGGATAATTTTAAAAAATAAAATAAATTTAATAGTCAAATTAATTAGATACAGTAGGTGATTGATTGACCAAATAGACTCAAATAAATTATACCTCTGAATAAGATTCATTTATCGGGACCGGTAATAATTAACTTCTGTGAAAAAAATACCGTTTAAAAGTCCTTCTCCTGAAATCTACGAGGCATAAATAACATATATTTTCATCATATATGTGCAAGAATGCTGGTACTTACACCAATTTCGAGTATTTAAATGTGATCAGGAGGCTAAAATTCAACAAACAGATCTGAATATAAGATAATGCTGTTAGTTTAAATTTTTTTAAATCATTAGAGGCCCCTTGGAAATAAATAGTTTGTTTTACTTTTTGAGTCCTTATAGTTATAACTGGATATATTATTTTTACGTTCTATTGTTGCAGCAGTGTGGATAATTTTAAATTTAAATTGACTAAATTTATATAGTTTCCACACTAGGTAAAATATAGTTGAGATAATAAACAAATAATTTCTAATTGATCTCAGTTCATGAATACACAAAAGTGTTGTATAATTTACTAACGTTGTTTTAATTCACAGGTCATAGTTTTTGGGTAGTCAGTTTAATGACGATTCATCTAAGTTTATTTGTGTGTAAAGTTGTATAAGTGTGCTACTAGTTACATACTATTTACTAGCTTATAATCAACTTGATAGATGTATATTTTTCTATTACATTTGTATGCTGTTTTTATGCAAATTGCTGGCTTGAAGGCAGCATAAGTCAAGTAGTATTTTGTTTGTATACCAAACTAGATGTACTGTACATTATTTCTTACTTACTTGACTCTTAGCTGGGGTTGCTTTTGGTGTTGGTTTTCTTTCTGTAGTTTGGTTGTGGCTTTTCTTAACTTTTTAGGTTGTGGGGTGGTTCCTTACAAATGGTTCTCTGCTAACAACTATATAGAGCAAGAGCCCATGACTGCCAGACTTTCGTCATTTTATAAAAGCTGAAAGTTTCTCAGCTAATGCTCCCAGTTCACTTAAGAATGATAGGCAACTATGACATTTGGATTTTGGTTACTTTGATAACAAAAAGGTAACAAAGGTCAGAAATTTGCAAATAACCATCGTTATAGTATAAAGCTTGGTTCTTTCATATTTTCTTCAGAGGAATGTTAGAAATCATTTCCCCCATTGCCAGACACTTTGTGTGGTTTAAACCCTCTGCCAGACACCCTTAAAAACTAGGTATGACGAAGATTAATTTTCGTCATTTTATAAAAGCTGAGATTGATATATGTTATTTGGGGAGCTATCAAAAGACGTTTTCTCAAAAGCCAGACACTTTCGTTGGTAACTTCATCTAGCCAGACACTTTAAAGTCTGCCGTAATAAGCTTAACTGTTAGATGCAAACAGCGAATTCAGTTCCAGTTTGGAACAGATCTCTGTGCCAAATGTAAACGGTTAAATTACTTACTTTCTTCCTCAGAGTCTGTTTTTATAATAAACCATATGTTTGATGTAAACATATGTTATATTTGCATTTAATTGTGTGTTTATTTCTGCAGTGTTTTGAAAATATGTAATTATGTTCTAAAACCATTGGGCACAGAAAACTATTCCAAACTGTAACAGAAGTCACTGTTCGTATGTAGCAGTTAGCCCACAACTACCTATTATATTACAACAGACTTTTAATGTGTCTGGCCAGATGAAATAACCAACGAAAGTGTCTGGCTCTTCAGGAAATGTCTCTTCATAGCTTCCTAAGTAACATATATCAAATTCAGCTTTTATACTATTATGTAAACTAACGCAATCACGATTAGAAATAAGTTGTGATTTCACCCTGTTACATTTGGCGACGAAACCAGTTCTATACTGGAACTGAAGTCACTGCTTGTAACTACTGAACCTATTATACTACTACAGTCTTTTAAACTGTCTGGCAAGATAAAATAACCAACGAAAGTGTCTGGCTCTTGAGGATATGTCTCTTCATAGCTTCCCAAGTAACATATATCAAATTCAGCTTTTATACTATGATATAAACTAACGCAATTACGATTAGAAATAAGTTGTGATTTCACCGTTTACATATGGCACAGAGATCTGTTCCAAACTGGAACTGAATTCGCTGTTTGCATCTAACAGTTAAGCTTATTATGGCAGACTTTAAAGTGTCTGGCTGGATAAAGTTACCAACGAAAGTGTCTGGCTTTTGAGAAAACGTCTTTTGATAGCTCCCTAAATAACATATATCAATCTCAGCTTTTATAAAATGACGAAAATTAATCTTCGTCATACCTAGTTTTTAAGGGTGTCTGGCAGAGGGTTTAAACCGCACAAAGTGTCTGGCAATGGGGGAAATGATTTCTAACATTCCTCTGAAGAAAATATGAAAGAACCAAGCTTTATACTATAACGATGGTTATTTGCAAATTTCTGACCTTTGTTACCTTTTTGTTGCCAAAGTAACCAAAATCCAAATGTCATAGTTGCCAATCTTTCTTAACTGAACTGGGAGCATTTGCTGAGAAACTTTCAGCTTTTATAAAATGACGAAGGTCTGGCAGTCATGGGCTCTTGGGCTAATACATTTGTAGTATTTTTACTTATTGTAAACTTAAAATTACATTCATAAAATCAATCTAAATAAGAGATTTCAAAGTGTAATAATGGTTCCTAAAAGATTTTTGTATACACCTCAAATGGTTCTTAAAACCTACAAAATCCTAAATGCTATAGTTTAACAGTTCATTTATGAATTTGATTTTGTTCAGAACATCAAGAACTGTTATAGACATTTACTTATGTACCAAGTAAACATGTCTTTCTTTAAATTTAAGATTGGATGTTAAAGGAAATATTCTTCCTTTTTTTAGATCCTTCCGATCGTTTATCCTTCATCCAATCAATGAAATGCCCTTTTGGAAAGACCCTTAGTTACAATTGTCATTTAGACGATTTTTTTATTTTATAAAGTAACCTTTTCTAATTTTCATGTTTCCCTTAACCGGTTTCTTGGTGGTGGGATTAACAAAAACAAGATCTCAAGCAAAATTGCTAGTCCTCATTCATAATATGTTACATTTGTAGGGTTCCTACTACAGAAACCTGTTTTTCTGGTTTGTTTTGTTTTACGGTAGGTATTTTTGTTTTTATGTTTTAACGTAGATGTGTGCCATTGTTTTAGTTACCACAAGTGTTCAAAGGTTCTTAGTGTTTGTTATTTTTCTCTAAGTTACCTGTTTGTGCCACCAACCTTTAAGGAACAAATTGTTGCAGTGGTCATAAATAAATGTATTACTTTAAACGTTTTAAAATCCAAATATTTGTATAATTGTATGTATGCTGATGTATTTGAGTTGAATTGTTATTTTTATGTTCGTTGCCAAAGCAACTCCAGTCAGAGCTTGCCAAGAAAGTATATTCTATTTATTTTACCCTATTTACCTTGTTGTTATATTTTGATTTATATATTTGTTGTCAATGTGAAGTCTGAAACCTTTAGTAATGAAGTAATGCTTTATATATTTTTGTTTGTAAATGATTTAGCTTTTAACCAAATATTTGTCTTATTTGGATATTGCCATTTATAAGCACAATAATTATGCTATAAAAATAGTCTTGAACTTTACTGTGGTTTCTTTTACTATCCCCTATTCTACAATTTAAGAGCTTAGTGTATGAATAGTTTATGGTTTTATACAATCAACAGCTGAATAATTTATTCAAGTAGCCATGTTGGTATCCACAAAGTTCTAGCATAGATAAAACATACTGTGTTGCTTAGTCTATGGTTCTAGTCTGAAGATTACTATCCATACTTAAGTAATTGGATTATAAAAAATAAATTGTAACTTGAGTTCAACACTTTTTTTATAAACGATGCAGCTGATATTACTAATATCATTTTCCTCTAAATGTACAAATAGAAAAACCTGACGACCATTCATATATAACTACCAATTTTAAGACGCCATATAAAATAATAGTATTTTCATCCAAGCTAAGGTAAAACTATCATTCAGAATAACTGTGTTTTATTGAATTTTTACATCACATGGCAAGCGTGTCCAGCCATTTTTGTTGAGGTATCTTTTCCGAAAAGTGTGAAATTATATTACCTATACCAACCCATGTTACACACTACTATGATAGATGAAAATAAACTTATATTCTTCACATGCTTCCATGGTATTGCACTTTTTTACATTACATTTTCATAACATTTTTAAAAGGGTATGAATATTTTAAAATAGTAACAAATTCTAATCTCGGTTCAAAGTTAAGAGGTACATGAAAGCCTGCTAGGAGTATTTGGATTGTACATATACAGTAATTTTAAAATCCAAATAAAACAAAATGCAAGCACTGTATTAAATTGATAGGTGAGGAAATATTGTAATCCTAAACATTCCAAAACTGGAACCTTGTTGCTGGTTATTTTTGCTCTATGCAAGAGAATTATCGGCGCCATGGAGTTTTGATATGTTTGACGTTTATGTCTGCTGAAAATAGCTTCCCACAGTCTGGTAAACAGAGTGATCCAAGAGTACAAACCAAATATCCTCTATTCCTGTTTTACTTGTCACAACTTGCAATTTTATTTGAAGAATTTTTTTTTAAATTTTCTTTCATTGGAATATGTTCTGATTATATTTTTGAAGCAAAAGGTAAAAGTATGTTTTTGATAGCTACAAAATCATCACTACTCATAGTTTTGAAAAAAACAACACATCAATTATGATTTCCCAATTTTTATAATTTTTTTGTTCAGCTCTCTTAAAAATATGAGAATCAAACAAATCAATCCTTGCAGTAACAGTGAAAATTGATGTGAAACCATCCCTACATTGTGCTGTTAATAAAAGATAAACATACTATGCAGTATTTTCAATAAAACCAGCTTTTTGTACCTAGATGCTAGAACAGGTGGAATAAGTGTATGTAATACAATCCAAAAATATTTTTATTATATCTACAAAATATTGGTAACGTTAAATATTTTTCAGTACAAAACATCGATGTATAACATTAACACTTATCTAACCTAACATCTCACAATATCACAGCCATCGTAGT